AGGCACGCCGCCCCACACAGGGATTTTAAGGAGAGGAGTGTGATGCGCTAGCCGTCGCCCACCCTAGGGAGTCTGCCTCTTCCTATCTCTTTTCGCAGTCTCTCGCCGATTCTCGCTGCAACCCTGCAGCAACCTTCATGCCACCTCGCGGCCGTCCCACTCTCGTCGTTCTCTCCCTTGTCACTTCCTCCTCTGTCGCGTCATTCTCTTCTGCCTCGTCCTGCGCCGCCGCCGCCTGCCGTTCCCTTGTTCTCTCGGCTTCTTTCGCCTTTCGGCGCAGCTCCGCCCTCCTTGCTGCATATCCTGGCCCCTCGAGTCAACGGGCCCGGCCCCCGCCTCGGTCGGACTATTTATTTATTGATTGAGCCCCCAATGTTCGTCGCGGCCTTCGCCACCGCGCTGTGCCATGCTCGCCTCCGCCCGCTACGAGCCACGCCTACCCGCCAGGCCAGCGTGCGGTCCTCGGTGACGATGCTTTTCGGCGGCTCCCGCCGTATACGATTTGCCGAGCTCGACGAGACGCAGGTGTGTGGTTGGTGTGGGAGAGAGTGTGGGTGCGGTGGGACTGACTCTCTTGGCGCTGATGTGCGGCAGGCCATCAGCTGGGTGCGCTCGTTTCCTTCTCGCTTTCGGCGGTGGGGAGTGCTGGAATGGGAGTGCTTCGACGCGCCACCGCTCGAGTTCTCTGACAAGCCGATTCCGACCGGGACGAGGCTGCGCTACTACACGCGTGGCGCGGGAGGCGGCCTGGAAGAGGACGGCAACTTGGAAGTGACCGTAGACGGTCCCGCCGTCGTCTTTCGACCAGCTCGAGGCTCTGTGGATCGATCCAGGCAGGAGGCGGTGATCTTTGCCCTGGCGCTTGAAGCTGCGCGGAGAGGTGCCCTCTCTGAGATTGGCAGGCTGTCACCCGGGCTGTACGCGCCATCGGGGAGGGAGGGGCGGATGCTCGCGAAGATAGAGAGCGCGTGTGCCTCTGATAAGGCAGGCCAGTACAGGCGGTTTCGGAAGGAGGTTGGCCTGTGGTGATAGACAGCGACGGCGTCGTGTATTGTGTATGTGTTGCGGTCTCGTTGCGGACCGGGAAAGTTTGACGAATTTTCCCTAATTCATAGTGAACTTTCTCTCTCATACACGTATTGCCCTGTGTGGTGCGGCTTGGACAATTTTCTGTCATGTTTATAATGTGTACAATGTCCCGAATGTGTGTGTGTTTTACCGTGAGAGATTACGTAGAACACGTATGTGCATCCGTAATGTGCCGAGATGCGTGTTAGGAGCCGTTAGGTTATGGAGACTCCATATGCGCCGGTGCGCCGTGGCCGTGCCGCGTGTGCCGAGCGGGTGGCGCGCCGTCATCACTCACACGAAGTTCCTATTGTAGTTTCGCGTCGGCGGACGTCTACTGGTTGCCGTTGATTTGAGGCGCCTCTCCTCCTCCAACAGATTCCCACGGCCATTCGCGCCGCCACCGGTGGGCGTGCCCGCCAGGGCAGACTGTAGCTGCGAGAGCAGCTCGAGGTTGTCGAGACCGAAGACGGGGAACTCGCACCACTTGTGGTTGGGGCCGAGCGCCTGGAGCTTCCGCATCGGCATCTTCCACGCAAAAGATTGCATCCAATTCTCGGCGCGCGCATCCTCGCGCCTGGGCTGCGCGTGGCTGGTCCCGATGAGGTCCACGACATCACCGTCGCACTGGCAGGTGCGCGACTCGTTGTACCCCGCAGTCACAAAGTGGCGCCTGGCAGCCCGAGTGTCCGTGATGCCCTGGGCACGGACGTCGGGGTAGCGAGCGAGATAGCACGCCCAAGCGTTGAGGCTCCTGTCGCAGAAGGCCACCGACTGCCTCAGGGTGAGCACCGATGCCTGGCCAAGCTGCCGGTCGACGTCGTTCAGGCGGTGCTCCTGCCTCTTACGAAGCGGAGTAGGAGGAAAGTGCACGAAGCTGCGCCTCGTGCTGGCGAGTGGGAGGGTAGACCCGCGTGGCAGTGCCGACTCGGGCGGGCACGGCTTCTCTGAGGCAGCGGCGCCCGCCGCTGGATGAAGGCCGCGGCGCCATATCACGTAGCTGAAGCTGAGCTGATCGCGCAGGGTGTGCTCTCGCCAGCGAAAGTAGGTGCGTGATGGCCAACTCTCATTGGGGTGGCGCCGTGCGCGAGGGCCAGCGCCGCCCCAGAGTTCGGTGGGCTGAGCCCCTGGCGGTAGAACCAGTCAAGACCGTGGCAGGCCCGCTCACCCACGCTGATCTCATGTTCTTCGAAGAGCTTACGCCTATTCCGCCGCCGCCAGCCCCGCCTCCGATGGCGCCCACGCCCCCGACTACTTCCCCGTCTCTAATGGCAGCGGCACCCTTTCCATGGGCCTTTGCTGTGCCTTCGCCGCTGGTGACCCAACCTCCTCGCCTGTGCAGCCTGCATGGCGGCGCGCATCTTGCTCCCGCCTCGTCCCCGCCACTGCCACCCATGGTGCCGCGGCGATCGGTGCTCGCCTAGCTAGGTACGACTCCAGCCGTGATCTGCTGCGCGTTCACCTCGCTCCCAGCTATATTACACTCAAGTTCAAGAACAGAGAGGTTCGCCAGAACGCAGAGTACGGCTTTCGACCTCAATCGTTGTGTACCATTTTATTAAACAGGTCGTACTAAAATCCGGCCAGAGACAGACACGCGGCCACCGAGAGTGACAGTCAAATCCGGATGCGAGTCTGTGTGCACCCAGTGCAGTCCCCGGACCCCGCACACGATCACAAAATCACGAGATGTGGGGCGGGAGAGCGAACCGACCGCCTCCAACTAGTCGAGCCCCGTGTTCAGGAGCGCCGCTCCCGCCTTCTGCTCTGCACCGCCAGCACCATACTCACCGTGGGCAGTCACGGCCGAGCACCACCATACATCGTGTGCGGCATGGCAGCGCCAGCTGCCAGATCTGAGCGGGAGAGCACCGCTGCTGCCACCTCCTCCGCGCGCATGCCCAGTTTCAGGCCGAGGAAGGCCACGCCGCCGTGAATGCGACCAGAGCGCCCCCATGCTCTGCTTGCTGCGGTGACGTCGGTCTCTGGCAGCAATGAGCCTTCCAGCCTCCAGACCCTGGACCCGGCCGGCGTGACACACGCGGTTGTGGTCCGCGGGCGAGGTTGGTAGCGCTCCGATACCACTTGTGGGGCGGCGGGCATTGGTGTGCGCACGTTTCACGAGCGGTACGTGGGGGGTCGCAATGGGGGGTCGTCGCGCAAGGGGGGGATAGTGCGATAGTCAACGCAAGTGGCCCGCCGTCGGATCTATGTTCCGAACAGTGAAGAGTGCTTTTCTCTTAATAAATAAATAAATAAAACGGACACGCCAAACAAGGGGTGGGAGAAGGACAGCGTGTAAGGTGCCTATATGGGCTTCCAGTATCGGACCTTCAAGACATGCGCTTTTGGCCGGTGGCCTCCTCGGACATGGTACCTCCGGTGAGATAGTGGCTGCCAGTTCGAGACTGGGGCCGATCGAACTTGATTTGTTCGGAGGAGGAATCCGGCCAGCACGGGTACAAAGAGGGGTACCCGGAGAATCCCCAGCTGCGGAAACGTAGTGTCGCTCAAGAGGTGCGATACTGCGGGGGAGTGTAAGGTGCCTATATGGGCTTCCAGTATCGGACCTTCAAGACATGCGCTTTTGGCCGGTGGCCTCCTCGGACACAGCGTCCCCACCTGCACGAGCAGGATCGTGTAAGGACGATCAGGGACACAGGGGAAAGGCATTTGAAAATTCTTTTCTCTCCTTTGGCTTGTGCGCGGGAATTAATTCTTTTTTGGGCTGATCGCAGCTGCGGAAGCGGAAGCTCTAAGCCAGGCCCGCGAATGTGGCTCGCAGCGAGCGGATGCTCGGGCGTCGCCCTCCGTGCGACCAACCCGGGAGTGGGCCGCTGGCTCGGCCCGCATGCTGATGGCCGTGGCCGAGCCGTGCAGATGGCTGACCTCACCGTCGACGTCGCTGTGGTGGGCGGTGGCCCAGCCGGCTACGTGATGGCGGCGCTGCTGGGACGCTCGGAGCACTCGGTGGCGCTCGTCGACCCCAAGCCGGAGGGCGCCTGGCCCAACAACTACGGCTCGTGGCGCGAGGAGTGGGAGGCGCTCGCCGCATCGCTGCAGATGCCGGAGCTCCTCGACTGCGTCAGCACAAACTGGGCAGTGACGGATTGCTTCTTTGGCGGCTCGTTCGACACGCCGGACGACGAGCGGCTGCGGTTGGATCGCGCCTACCTCAAGGTCGACCGCCTCCGACTCAAGGCCCTGCTGCGGGAGAAGCACGCGGCGACCGGCGTGCAGCTGCTGGAGGGCTACGCGCCCGCGGCCGCCATCGCGCCGAACCTCTTTGACGGCGGCCTGGTGCATGACGCGAGCGGCTCGACGCTGACGGTGAAGGCGTCGGGCGGCGGCGGCGGCGGCGACGTCCGCGTGCGCGCGAAGCTCGTCGTCGACGCGACCGGCTTTGAGTCCAAGCTGACGGTGCGCGAGAGCCCCGCCGCGGGGGGGCTGTGGAAGGAGCTCGCGCCCGGGTACCAGATCGCGTACGGCATGTGCGTGGATGTGGCGGGCGACAAGCTCGCGCCGTACGACGCGTCGGCGATGACCCTCTTCGACTACCGCACCGACCACCTCGTGGGCTCCGACCTGCTCGCAGACGCAGAGGAGCGGCCGTCCTTCGTCTACGTGATGCCGAGCGGCGAGGGGGGCTGCGACGGCTGCGGCGCGTCCGCCTTTTTCGAGGAGACGTCGCTGGTGGGGCGCGGCGAGCGGCGGCTCGAGTTCGAGACGCTCAAGCAGCGGCTGATCAAGCGGCTCGCCTTCCACGGCATTACGTACAGCGAGGCGAGTGTGCGCGAGGAGGAGTACTGCTACATCCCGATGGGCGGCCAGCTGCCGGACAGGACGCAGCGCGTCGTGCCGATCGGGGGCGCCGCAAACACCGTCCACCCGGCGACCGGCTACCAGCTCTGCCGCATGCTCGCCTCGTCAACGGGCGTCGCCGCCGCCCTCTCTGCCGAGCTCAGCAAGGGCGACGGCTTCGACCCGGACGCGGCGGCGGCCGCCGCGCACGCCTCGCTGTGGCCGGCGAGCAACCGGCTGCAGCGCGACTTTGCGGTCTTCGGCGGCGAGTTCCTCGGCTCGCAGCCGGTCGAGATCCTGCGCGGTTTCTTCGGCGCCTTTTTCGCGCTCGAGCAGCAAGTGTGGGGCGGCTTCCTCGCAGGGTGGCCGGGGCTACCCGGCAACGAGAACCACGCGACGTGGCTCGCGCGCGTCCGGTTTGGCATCACCATCGCGCTCAAGTTCCCGCCCAAGGTCGCCGCAACCTTCGTGGCGTACCTCGCCGCCTTCACGGCGGCGTACGGCCCGCTCATCCTCAAGTCCATCTTCACGCCCGTCTTCGAGATTGGCGTCGGGCCGCCGCCGCCCGACCCCGGGCTTAGGGCGCGCCGGCAGCGCGCGCGCGACGTGTACGTGACGGGCGACGCGGCGGCCAAGCGCGAGGCAGTGGAGATGCTCCGGTCGGGGCGCGCCGGCGGGACGCCGAGAGGGGAGCCATCGCCGCAGGTGGAGCTGCTCGAGGAGGAGGAGGCGAGGGAGGAGGAGGCGCTGGCGGCGTGAGCGGAGCAACAGTAAAGCCACCGCGCTCGAGAGAGGACGATGGACACCCAGTCCCGGAGGCCTCGGGCCCAGTCTGAGCCGAGTCCAGACCCAAACGGGGCGGAGAGAAGATAGGATAAACGGAGAGAGATGTTGCGCATGTATGGCGGTGTGCGATCTGCGTATACTGGGTACTGCGAAAACGGAAAAAGTCAAAAAGTCTTTTTTGTTTCGACGTAAATAAAGAAATGAAACGGACACCCTGCGAGAGGAGAGATGGGTAAAAAGGAACAGGTTCGAGGTTGCACGGTGTACGCGCAGCCTGACGTGCATGTGGTTTATCCCGTGTTAGACGAGCACGAGGGGCCGTGAGAGGGCGTCAAGCTAGACCCCCGTACGGGGTGTGGACCCTGAGTTGACCAGGGGTTGTGCGCCGGGCCCTCCTGCTCGGCTCCAGCGAGTAGACAAGTGTTTTGTCATCAACAGAGAGTAGAAGGATCTGACCTCGGGGCCGATGTGACCAAGCGCTGGTAGCGTGGTTTAACCTCACACCCATGGTCTCACAGTGTGCCGGCAGTCGCCGAGCAGTGTCGCTCACACAAGCCGCAGCACAAGTGACTGAGGGCCAGTGAGGGCGAGCCCATCGCTGTCACAGCTGTGGCAGCCGCACAGTAGGCTGTGTCAACTGTGCAGAGTGTGTGAGCAGCAGAGGAGAGCTGCTCTCCAGGCTTCTGTCGCAAAGAGCTGCATGCCACCGAAAGCGCTGTCGAGGTTCGCCGAGCGCGGCGCAGGTTGAGGGAAGCCGCCACCGACGAGCGCGTTGGAGTGTATTCACTCTGGGCAAAGACGGCCGCACGCACACGACCTGCGGTCGTGCGGCCGTCATAGCGGCGAGGCGCGGGACCGTCTGTGGCGAAGTGGGTCGCGTCCCTCGATTTCCTCAACTCACGGTCCGCTCCCTCTAGACGTGCGCGCGGCCCGCGCCGCGGGCGGCGAAGATCAGCATTTGACGCGCTTTGGCACGAGTGGTTGCTCTCTCCCGCGACAGCCACCCGACCGACAGGGAGTTTCGCTTCGCAGACGACAGAGTGACTCAGAGAGTGCGAGAGAGACCCGACCCCCACAGCCACACCCCCTGTGTCGCCCAAGCTGCTGCATCCCCCCACTTTCCACCATCACCACACGTACTACCCCCCGCTCGTACGACCCCCTCTCGTGCCTCGACCGGCTGACGCGTATATCTCTTTCCGCAACCGCGAACCGCTCGCCTCATGGATGCAATCCCCGGTCCGGATGCAAATAGTACTCCGACCTCGAGAGGCGCCGCAGCGCATCGAGCGTCGAAGTGTAGCAGAGTACTGTCAAGGCTAGGCTAAGGCAGAGCAGGACAGTGTAGGCAGCCCCGAGGCTCGAACCGCTGGGCAGCAGGCCGATGTTTGTAGCGTCGATGGTCGCGTCGTCGTCTGCGGCATCAACGACGCGCACGATGAGGAGGATGAGGGAAAGGACAAAGGCGGCGAGCTGGACGCCAAAGGGCCGCCGAAAGTGCTTAGTTAGCTGCGTCAACAGGCCGAGGCGAAAAGCGGCGGTCCTGACGATGATCCCGAACAGCTGGGCGGCGATGACGCTTCGTGCGACGACGAGGACGACGAGCGAGATCAGCTCTGGCAGCACGCGCTCAAAACGCTCGCTCGAGCGGCGGAGTTCGAGCGACTCGTAGAGCAGAGAGAGGCAGAGCAGGGTGTTGATGGAGTCAACGGCCATGAAGACGATGGCCACCGACACCCGGCTCGCGTAGCCCTCGTGCGAGATTGCGCCGGGGGGGACGGGGCGCATTGGCGCCGGCTTGCCGTCTGGCGTGCTGTGCGGGCGCCGCGCAACGGCGCCAAATGCCGCGGCGAAAACTACGCCTCGATACATGATGGCGATGACCCCGTCGGCACCCTCGGTGGCACCGCTGGCAAGAAGGTGCGGCTGGTGTCCTCGGCCGCCGCCCGCCTCCTCCTCGGCGCTCGGCGGCAACGCCGCCTGCTCGTCCCCGTGAGGGCCATAGCTGAGGAGGAGGGCGAGCCAGCAGAGGAGGGCGCGGAGGAGCACGGCGGCGGGAACGGCATGGCCAAAGGGCCCGGGGTTAGTGACGGCCGCGTGGTAGGCGGCGGATGACGTCGGTACGAGATACGGCAGCTGCTCGCGGCTCTCTGGCGCCGCCAGGCGCCACACGGGGCCGCGCAATGCAACGCCGATCGCGACGACTGAAGCGTTGCTCGCAATCGTCAGCAAGTTGACCCAACGACCGGTGGGGTATACGTCGTAGTAGCGTGAGCGCCGGCGGCGTAGAAGGAGCAGTCCCGTGCCAACGCAGCACGAGAGGCCGCCCCAGAGGTAGAGACGCCAAAAGTGCAGCGCACTGTCCGCATAGAGCGCAAATGGCGACAGCGGCTCGTTGCGCGCCACGGAGAGCATCGAGACCTCGAGGGCGGCGGCTCCGCCCATCAGCCCAGCGGCGAAGTGCGTCGACGCCAGGAATCCGCGCTGCACAGTCGCCGCGAATTGGAGCGCGAGCGGGAGTGGCACCTGCTCCTCGGCGGTGTCGATGACGGAGCGAGTGTTCCCACTGAGCGCCAATGCTGAGCGGGCCGTTGCCGGCGCGTCTACCTTGCGGAAGGCGCCACGCTTGGCTGGCGCCATCACCGCCTCCACAGGAGGGAGCGGCTTTGGCTGCGCCCGCAGCGTACCTGGAGTGGTCGCTGGCAGAAGCAGCTCGTGATCAGCGGCCGCCACGGCAAGCACGTCGTCGTCGGTTGCGGCCCTCGACTCTGCACGCGCCCGCTGTCGCGAACCTGGCGGCAGGCGCACCGGTGGCAAAACGGTGGCGGCGACGGGAGAGGCAAGTGGCGAAGTTGGCGGCAGTGGTGGCGGTGGTGGCGGCGGTGGCGGCGGTGGCGGCGGTGGCGGCGGTGGCGGCGGTGGCGGCGGCGGTGGCGGCTGCGACGCGAGCCCTGTGTCTTCCGTGGCAGTCTCCAGCCCCGCACGCCGAGCGGCTCGCCGCTGCCGCCGCAGCTCGGCCGCGCTGGGCTGTGCGGCGACGTCTGCATCGGCCATGGTGCAGCGGTTGGGGGAGGCAACGATGGGAACGTTTCATCGTTCGTCCTCTCCGCCTGAGAAGAATCCCCCCTTTTTCGACGCCAGCGTAAAAACGGTTAGTGGTGCACTAACCTCCGAGAAACCCTTCGGGTCGCTCCTCATCGCAAACCCTGTCAGCAGAGTCCTCCTACGGGAATGTACGTTAGAGCTACATACACTGAAAAAGAAATCGCGGGGCGAGGATCCCTACCGCGCCTGGCAGTACTTCCAGCCTGCTGACCGGGGGGGCCGCCGAAAGGCTGCCGCCGTAACTCGAAAGCGGGCCGGATCCCACGCGAGGACGGCGCGCAGCGCCCTGTCCTGCCATGAACGGAGCGCCAAGCTCGTCAGCCGGCCAGGATAAGCCGCTGCTCATCGCCTCCTGGAACGTGGCCGGCTGGGAGGCGACGCTCCGGTACATCAAGGAGCACTACAAGACGCTGGATTGCTTCTTCGAACGCCATGGCTTCGATATCCTTTGCCTGCAGGAGGTCAAGGTCACGCGCCAAAAGCTGTCGGCCCACAACGCAGCCTCGCTCGGCGCACACAGCGTGAGCGGCTGGGAGTCGTTCTGGTCCTGCTCTCCGAAAGGGTTCAACGGCGTGACGACCTTTGCGCGCAAGGGCCTCACGCGGCATGCAGACGCCGCGCCGCTCGGCAAGCCCGTGGATGCGGAGGGGCGGTGCGTGATGACGGACCACGGCGCAGTCGTGATCTTCAATGTGTACGTGCACGCCACCGGCAGCGACACCGACGGCTCTCGGCGCGCAAAGAAGCTCGAGTTCCTCGAGGCGGTCCGCGCAAAGATGCGCGCCGTCCGGGCGGGCGGCCGTGCGGTGTGCCTCGCCGGTGACCTCAACATCGCGCGGCGCGCGGCTGACGGGCCGTGGCAGCAGGCCTTCCTCTCGCGTGCCTCCCTCCGCGCCCACGGCCGGGTCGAGCTCGTCGAGGGCGACGGCGAGGTTGCGGGCTGGGGCGACGAGGTCAGCCGCCTTCGGACCGAGCTGGGCAGGGCGTTCCACCGTCGCGGCGAGGGGGGCGCGGCTGGCGGTGCGAGCCGGGAGGGGGCGGAGGC